AAGCTTCTAAGTTTAATTAGGTCCCATTTGTTTATTTTTGCTTTTATTTTCATTACTCTAGGAGGCGGATTCAAAAAATATTGCTGCCATTAATGTCAAAGAGTATGCTGCCCCTGTTTTTCTCTAATGGCTTTATGGTATCAAGTCTTACATTTAGGCCTTTGATCCATTTTGAGTTTATTTTTGTGCATGATGTCAGAGAATGTTCAGATTTCATTCTGTTACATGTGGTTATCCAGGTTTTCCAGCGCCACTTGTTCAAAGTGTTAGTCGCTCAGTCATGTCCGACTCTTTTTGACCCTATGGATTGTATTGCCCGCCAGGCTCCTCTGTCCATGGAATTCTCCAGGCAAGAATACTGGAGTGGGTAGCCATACCCTCCTCCAGAGGTCTTCCTGACCCAGGGATCACACCCAGGTCTCGTGCGTTGCAGGCGGATTCTTTACCGACTGAGCCAGAGACTGGTTTTTTTCCATTGTATATCCTCACCTCCTTTGTCATAGATTAACTGATGGTGAGTGTGTGGGTTTACTTCCAGGCTTTCTGTCCTGTTCTTGAATTTTCACACAAAAAGGATATATTTCCTCTGGAACTTCAGAAATCTACCTCTTGCCCTTGGGGCGCTCACAGTGCACAGAACCAAGGCGTGAGCCCCCGTGTGATACAACTGATCAGTAGAGCTTGTTTCACTAGCAATCCCAAAACTAAGATGTCTAACTGCATTATCTGTACTTGTTGAATTAATTTTATATGGCTGTGAAATATTTTCTCAGTGACAATAGACTTACTTTCTGTCTCCCTAGAATCATAAGTTGCCAGTAGTTCCTAGTTTTGATGGATCTCCCTAATGGGATCCTTCTAATAAAACTGGCATTTGATTTTCTCTGTCATTCATGCTGCAACTTATTTTTTGTTAGGTTTTAACTGAAAACATCCACGTATTTCCCCTGGAGCTATAATGCCAAGGAGCCAGTTATAGCATTAGGCATACTTTCCTGCTCATCCTGATAAGAAAGCCAGGGAATTTTAATTCTACCTGTTTTCCCCCCCGTAGATTTAGAACGTAAATTCTTTCTACATATTTATGAAACGAGACAAGTGATAGCAAGAGCAGTACTCAGTAATTGGAAAGTCAGTTACCTTTTATCTCTTGGTTAAAAAGAGGAAGTAGGTCAATTCTTTGTTAATATTATTAGCAAATACTATTTATAGGATGATACAAATTACTAGGGGAAAGACATTGTAAAGTTGATTTACAAGCAAGAGGCAATAGCTAACTTTTTCTTAAATATATTAAGAATGCAGTGACCAATTTTTTAGTAATCAAAGTCTGAAATTTTTTTTGTTCAAACTATTTTTTTAATTAGTTTTCTTTTTTTTTTTAATCCCTTACCAAAAAAACTAACAAAAACTAAACTAACTCAGCAAGCCATTTTCACTACTCATATCAAGCACCTGCTAGAAGGGTTTGTTCAGATGCATTTGTTGCTATTCAGTTGCTAAGTCGTGTCTATGCATCTGAACATATTTCAGCCATATACCACAAGTATATGTGATGGAGGAAGAAATATAAATGTGAGAATAAAATATTTATGGCATGGAATTACTCATGCCCATTTGTTTATATAGCCTTCTGTGTGTGTTTCTACCACAGACATGAAACTAAAATTCAAGTAGATCCCTCTGCATTTGAGTCTTCTGGTGAGGAAATTTAAATTGCCCATCTACTAATTTTTTGCATTTGAGATAAATCATGAGGTGTTTATAAATATCATTTCAAAGGCTAGGAGGTAATGTCTGTGTATTTGGCTTATTACTAAACCAAGAAGAAGTTTGTTTTAGAAGCAATATGATTCTCCAACAGCCTCCATGTTTGTGTACATCAGAATTGATGGCAGTTTGGAAGCCAAATACAGAAGCAAACATTTCTCAGGAAGAACTACAATTTGCTGCCATCCATTTCTATCAAACTCTGGGTGAAACATTACCGAAAACCTACTTCTCAGCCTTGATCCTAAATGACTTAGAAGGCTGGTGACCTCATCCTTTGATGTTTAAAAAAGGAGGAAACTATATTTCAACTAAAGAAGCTAGAAAACATTAAAACTGCTCAAACTGGAAACTTCCACAACATCTGACATCACACCAAAAGCCGCTGAGACAAACATGCTTTCAAGTGCTGTCCTGCTTCCAGTTTCCTGTGCTTTCTGCAAGTACTTCAGTTTATGAATCTGCTTCTGGACAACGCTGGCCACGGTTTCAGGGAAAATGCTTCCGTGAGTATTGCTCCATGCTGAATCTTGCCCAGACCAGGGAGATCCTAGATGCTAGCCTGTGGACAACTGCTGCAAGTGAAGTCAGGAATCTGATCTGCTGAAGCAGCTTTTAGGTCTGTCATTGTCCCAGAGTCCATGAGCTTTTAGACTGGGAATTAAAGCAAGAACACTAGAGGCTGAGTGCCTAACTCCTATCCGAAACTTACAAACATCTTCAAAGATGGTGAGAACTCAACTCTGACTTAGCACTTTTTCAGTAGTTCTTTGCTTGCTGTTTCCACAGTTAATGAATGCCCCTTCAGATTCTGCAGTTCTGTAAACCCATGGATGATTTAACCTGAATCATGACTCTATTACTTTATTACTTGGTAGTTAAGAAGAATGACTACGAATGGGATAGACTCAGTAAAGTTGAGTCTCCCAAGGGTATTTGTCAGTTATTGCTGATCCATTGGACTTCCATGGCCCTCAACCCTCAGTTCTTTATATTCCTGAAACATTTGAGTTCTTTATGTGATATCTTTTCAGAATAGATCAGCCAATTTAATTTGTAGTTACATTAGTTACACTGCAAGCCGAACTTAGATTTTTGATGTCGCAGCTCTTGGTAGACTCCTCTAGAAGATGATCGTAATAATAACTAGCCTTGGGCGAGCTCTTCCTATGTGGCAGCTCTTTTGCAGACATTATCTGTCACAGCAATTCTGGGAGACAGGCACTAACATTAGCCCTACTATACAGATGATTAGACAGAATCAGAGGGATTAAGTTACTATCCCAAGGTCACACAGTGGTTGAACTGAGACCTGAACCCAAGCAGTGTAACTGCAAAAACTGTATCTCTGTAAAAGTCCAGTAAGGTGTAATCCCCTGACCAGAATGTCTGGGAAAAAAATTAAATGCTCCAAATAGTAGGATGACTGAATAAATTATGTTTTACCCATGCCATGAAATATCAGGTAATAATAAAACAAAATAATGGTTTTATGAATATGTAATGGTATGAGAAAATGTTAACGATGTAAGATTAAATGAAAAAGTGCTGCACAGTAAAATCTCAATTTTGTACTTAAGAGAAATAGATAATAGAATGCCAGTGTTGATTATCTCTAGAAATTGGATGAAAGGCGATTTTAGTTTTTTCTTTATGCTTCTCTGTATCTTCTAAATTTTTGGAAGTGACCATCATCAGGAAAGTGAGCTCAGTCATGTTTGACTCTTTGCAACCCCATGGACTATACAGTCCTTGGAATTCTCCACACCAGAAACTGGAGTGGGTAGCTGCTCCCTTCTCCGAGGGATCTTACCAACCCTGTGGAAGTGGCCATATATTACCTTAAATTCAAAAAATTAAGGTATAGTGAAATGGAAAATGTTTGAAATTAGCTTTTCCTAATTTCTAGCATTGAAGAAAAAGGAGTCTGTTTCTGTTTTGTCTGAGACAGTGATGTCCACCTCTACCCAGAGGTATGTGGCCTCTTATCCAGACCTTTGTCTGGGTTAGACTCCTTAATTTTCATAAGAAAATGTCAATTCTACCACCAGCTCAGCTGACACTGATAGATGTGTCCTTCATTGTCCTCATAGATTATCTATACTTGAGCATCTCTCCACAGAGGATAACCTTGAACTCTGCTGTCCCAAACAGATAAAGAGCTTTATTACTTTATATATGTTTATATATTATATTCATGTGTATTATTATATCTGAATATATACTATATATATACTATATATATATATATTATATCTGAATATATACTATATATCTTGGAATTTATACTGACTATATACTATATATTCAGATAAAATTCCCAGATGGCTATATAGTTTATTTCTCTAGGACTTAACATTTTATCATTGATCCTTACATCTGTATTCTACAACCACCTTGCTGAGCTCCTCACAAAATTACGTTTGCTGAGCTGAGTTTAGCCCCAAAACCATGAGTTTGCAGTGAAGAATCTTATACGTAAGATTCTTTTGCATTAAATGTAGAATTGTTGAAACAGTTTTTCATCATATCATTACACTATAAAAGGGAATTTTTCCCAAGTGAAAAGTCATCATGATCTTTCTAAGCAATGGGTTTGTTTTAATCTTATGGACACTATAATTTGTATCATCAATTTAAAAATTACAGACCACGAATAACCCTCTGTCTTAGCTGCGGTAAAGCCCTAGGCCAAATACATTGTGTTCCTCCAACAAATGTCCAGATGCTTGTTTGTTGAACTGATCTCTGATTTTCTTCTGGCACTGACTTTCTCCTTTTTTTCTATTTTCATTTTTATGTGCTCCTTCAAAGCATGTGAGGAAGGGGAGAGAAGAAATAAATGGATAGATAAATGCATAAAAGCAAATTTGTGTTGGGAACTTACGGCTATGATTTCAAATCAACACAATGAACATGAGAGTTTTCTTCCTTCACCTGTTTTTCTGGAACAATTTACAGAGATTCAAGAGTTAGTGACATGATGCTGACATGACAAATGCAAGATTTTCCCCACCACTCTGTTTTAAAGAAAGATAATGAGTCCAATTCCCAGGTTCATGTGCTGCTCTGACAAGATCCATTGTGACACTGGAAACACCCTAACATGAACTGTTTTCTCAGGAAACAGGCCAACTGCTTTGATCTCAAGTGGACAAATCAGAAAGGCAGGTAGGAGTGACTTTTGTTTCTCTGTAATTTTACAAGCTCAAATTCTACATTGCATCAAGATGTTTCACAAGCTCCTATACTTACAAACTTTCAACTTCAGAAAGGTGAACACAAAGCCCAAAATTAGAACAAAGCTGTGCAGACTGCCTTCCCTGCAACAACAGTTTCTGATCATTGAGCAGAGCCCTCTTGCTCCTGGTACCAATAAATGTACCTGCTCATACTTGAGAGAGCTTCTGCAGTTGCTTTCCCCATTACCGTGTCCTCGCAGGATTTCCATCATCTGTTGTTTTTCCATTCAGTCTTTAAGTAAGGTGCTTCACCTTTCCCTGGAGGCAGCACTTGATCTCTTTCTTTCCTGTAAACAGCAGTGTGGCCTGTCTTAACATTCTTTCCAGAACAATTTTTCTCTGTAAAGTTCTGAGTCACTGAAGGGAGCAGGAGACATTCTGTGGGCCACAGTAGTCAACTGAGAAAACAGAATCATTTCCCAGGACTTAAAAGGGTACTTTTAAGAGTGAGCAAGTTCGAAAAGTGGGCAAGAAGTCCGTCCAGGGTGACAGGCACAGACTCTTTTTCACACTGTGGAAGATCCTATTTCATAAATGAAAAAGGTGCGAGTGGAAAACTCCTTTATTTTGCAACAGCGGGGTAGTGCATCAGCCCTGGGCTGGGATTGCAGAGAGTTCTCTTGAGTTCTTATCCTTTCTTTCTAGCCTCTGCCTTTCAGGTTTTCACCAGTTCAATGGGAAGATGACCTCTGCTCCTACCGTGAGAGAAAGATATCTACAGAATGAGTGTATGGGTGTTCTGAGCTTTTGGACACCTGGATTTGACAGTTGATCTTCAAATATCCACTGCTTCAAAATCAGTCTAGGTACATTTGAACTTTTTATTTTGTATCTCTCAAAGGCTACTGAATTAAACTTTTTAGATAAAGAATGAAGTGGGCAGGATATACAGGAAAATTCTAACGCTACAAGCTTTTAAAATGGAGATTGATGGCAACTTCTTGTGAATCAAATACATCGCAAAATAAAAACAGTTTAAAAGTGATTATTAGCCCTACCCAAACTCAGGGTGGCTTCCCATACAATAATGTGTGTGATATTTCAACAGCCTCCTTTTTAGCCCTTCCCGTATCCAGATCATCACACAGCTCCCATTTGAGTAGCGTGGTCTCATTATAAATATATTATCTTACCCATCCTGGTTAGAACCATACGAGGTAGGTATAATTATGCCATATTTCCAATAAGAAAACTGAGGCTTATAAAAGTTAGGTAACTTATCTAAAATTATGAGACAGTAGAAACGGATGTCTGGCCTAGCTGAACTCAAAGCCACTGTATTTCCACTGTTTGGCTTGCTAATCCGATACACTGATCTCTATCTAACTTCCTGCTTGCAGTCATTCTATGAAAACTGTGTAAAGTTTGGAGCTGTATTCTTTAATCATTCACTGTATAACTGGTGATGGTACACAGCTGTCCAGGCTTTAATTTCCTCAGGTCTAAAATATGGATAACAATGCCTACCTAATGTTAAAACCATTAAATGAGATAATATATTTAAAACATGGGCCAGTGTCTGGCTCATCCTAGTTGCTTAATAAGTATCAGAATATGACCACGTCATCTTTTACTTATACTAAAACGCTCAGGTATTGAAATTCTTTTTTTTTTTTCATTTATTTTTATTAGTTGGAGGCTAATTACTTTACAATATTGTAGTGATTTTTGTCATACATTGACATGAATTAGCCATGGATTTACATGTATTCCCCATCCCGATCCCCCCTCTTTATATGTGTTGTAGTTCCCCCACCAAAAAAAAAAAAATCTATGGCTCATATTCCTTTGTAACCTCCTTGTGTCTGCATGCTACTGATTACATGTTCTGGAATCTAAATGTACACTGAGCTAAACAGGAAGGAAATCAATTACCTCACATAGGAGGATGGTCAGGGCCGGCTTGAGGGGTGGCTGATCGAGCAGCTGACCGTGTCATCAAGTAGCTAGAATCTTTCTGCTCCACGATGGACAGAATCTGCTTCACCCCAAGGTTTGTGACTCTCCCTGGTGAAAAGGGCTATGTCTGCCTACAGTACCCAGAAGTGATCACACCTCATTTCTATCTGAGAGGAAAGAAAGGCTATCTCACTGTGGTTCTACCGCCATCAATCAGCTAGTCTTTCCTTGCCGAACCATTCACTGCTGAAGGGAGGTGAGTTTTCAGGATTGATTTGACTCATCATCTAAAGGGAAGTAGAATTTGTCCACTACCCTCCCCAAAGTTTTAGACTGTAAATCTCAATGAGTGAAAGAACAAGCTTATTTATGAGTACAGGTGGAAACTCTAGTAATATCCAGAAAAGAGATGGTGAATTGTCACAAAAATAAACTCAAGTCTATTTGATTTCAGAGCCCAAAATGCCTCCATGCCATTGGTTATGCAGGAAGGAGTGGTAAGAGTAAGCCCTTTACCACATTTTTGCTTTAGATCAGTTCTGCTGTGACACTGATTAACTTAGATCTCTAAATACACTTCTCAAGGACGGATGACACTACACACAGAAGAAAAACTATACCCTTAACACGTTATCTACAGCTGGCTCCCCACGATTTAGGTGGTACATGTTTACCGCCTTAAATGACGTTGAATTACAGAGTCCTGAATCCTTCTGATACTATCAGAGCAAAAGCCAGTTTAATGCTCTGAGTCTGTAACACTTTCTAACAGGTGTAAATCTCCCTTTAATAAAGACAGGCTTAGAGCTTTAAAGGACATCACCTGGACTTTTAAACATTGGTTTGTCTTCCCTTCAAATAGTTTTTCAGTTACTTTTTATTTATGATAAACAGTTTTGGTCCTGGGGCTTCCCTGATGGCTCAGTGGTAAAGAAACCACCTGCCAATACAGGAGACGGGTTCGTTCCCGATCGGGGCTTCATTCAAGATCCCACATGCCACAAAGCAACTAAACCCATGAGCCACAGCTATTGAACTTGTGCTCTAGAGTCTGGGAGTCGCAACTACTGAGGCCACGTGCTGCCATCACTGAAGTCCTGAAGTCTGCGCTCTGCAACAAGAGACGCCTCTGCAGTGAGAAGCCCACATGCTGAAACTGAAGAGTAGCCGCTGCTTTCAGTAACTAAAGAAGAGCCTGGGCAGCAGTGGAGACCCAGATCAGCCAACAATGAATTAATTGGCTTTTTAAAAATTGGTCTTTCCATTTGAGGTAATGATAATTAGGCAATAATATGAAATTTCCCTTGAAAGCAAATCTATTTAAGGAAAACAAAATCAAGTAAAAGAGTAATTAGTTTGGAGAAAGGGTTATGCATGGATGTTAAAAATTATGAGGCAATATGTAGTGGTATATGAATAAGGAAAAATATGAAAGTGTTTTGAGAAGACTAAAGCTTGCAAAGCATTTACCTGGAGAAACTAGAGAATGATTGCAAGAATAATTTAAATTCAAGACTAAAGAAATTGCTAGCGCAGGGGGTAATTACTTCAGGAGCCACAAGAGGGCAGTGGATCAGTGGCTGTAAAGCCAGTTTGGTCAGTATGTCTTCCTTACCCAAGCCCTTGTTCCTTAAAGTGTGGTCCACACAGCAGCACAAACATCACCTGAGAGCTTATTGGAAAGGTAGTGTCTCTGGCCTCATCCCTGGACTACTGAATCAGATATGCATTCTAATGAGATTCCTACTTAATTCTTATGCACATTCAGTTCAGTTCAGTTGCTCTGTTGTGTCCAACTCTGTGACCTCATGGACCGCAGCACGCCAGACTTCCCTGTCCATCACCAACTCCTGGAGCTTGTTCAAATTCATGTCCATCAAATTGGTGATGCCATCCAACCATCTCTTCCTCTGTCATCCCCCTCTTCTGCCTTCAGTCTTTCCCAGCATCAGGATCTTTTCCAATGAGTCAGCTCTTCGCATCAAGTGGCCAAAGTATTGGAGCTTCAGCTTCGACATCAGTCCTTCCAGTGAACACCCAGGACTGATCTCCTTTAGGATGCACTGGTTGGATCTCCTTGCAGTTCAAGGGACTCCCATGAGTCTTCTCCAGCACCACAGTTCAAAACCATGGGTTCTTTGGCGCTCAGCCTTCTTTATGCACTTTTGAGTTTGAAAAGTTCTGACTTTGGCTCAGAGTTTTGGGTCCCTTTTGGCTACTCCTCCTGCTGTGGAACTGGGCTGACCTGGTGATAATTTTGAAGAAGTACATTTGCCACAGAGTCTACTATGATATTGTCAGATTACTTATGTTTGAATCTCAGTTCCTCCTCTCACAGTAGCACTTGGGTGAAAAACTGCATTTCCAATACTTGTAACATTTCTTTAATGAGCAGATGCTCAACAAATGGATGGATAAATGAATAAACCATTCAGACACAGAGAAATCATCTTTCCTAACAGTGTTTCTGTGTTCCTGCCATCCTTTATTTTGTTAGTTTGATGGAAGATGAGGGTTTATTTGTGTCTCTTAGTATCAACTGCCTTAAATCTTTTTGTAACAAGACAGGAAGTAAATGTTCCCACATGTACACATATCTGTTCAAATGTTTCTGGCACATTCAGGTGAGCTTTCCCAGGGCTTTCCTCCATATTCTGATATCTGCTCCTACCATAAGACCAACCATAAATAACCCTGGGTGTGCAAGCCATGTACAGATTGAGACAAGTAGAGTTTGAAAGAAAGGCTTCACATTCTGATCATTTTATAGGTTTCAGACCATCTAGGCCTTAGGGAAATTGAAGTAAAAGAATAAAACCTACTTGTGTTTCCTTGCCTAAAAATCAATAGGTTATTCCAGGAAAATATTAAAAATGACTTGTATACTTGGGGGAGTAGAGCTTTTAGTAAAATACTAAAAGAATACTTTCAGTATTTTCCCTTTTAATAGGTACAAGTGCAGGATATTGAAAAAGCAGTAGAATGCTTCAAAAAGTCTAAAATATAAGGCCTCTTGCCTCTATAGGCTTTGTGTGTTTTCCAGTCATTCACCCACTACAAACCAATTTCAGTTGAATGGTTTCTCCATTAGTTCTGATGCCGGAATATATTGAGAGGAAAGAGAAGTCTAATTGATGGGGTTATTCCTGGGCTGAGGTGAATCTCCCAGGCTCCATCCTTGAAGCTTTACAGAGTATCTGGCCAGCAGCTCGAGAAGGAGGTTTTCATAACCCCAACCATAGAACCAGTACATAAAACTCTCCCTACGATTAAAACCTAAGTAACAAGATACCCCTTCCTCCTTTCTAAAGCTGCAACCCTGTGATTTTTCTTCCATTTCATTTTTGCACTCATCCACTCATTCATTCATTCAACAAATATTTTTGAGTACCTGCTAAATGCTAGTGATATAGAAC